GGCCCCATTTGATTAAATGCTTATCTAAAGGGTGGATGAAACACTATTTCGCTCCAAACTTTTCTCCTTTCTTTTAAGTCCCTCGCTCATTTCTTTCTTTCAATTAGATGGTTTTGGCACACACATTTGCATTAGAATGATATCTGTTTGGACACCGAATAGGAAAATAGTTTGGGAGATTCAATGATCCAAGAGAAACCCTCCCAAGAAGGGAAATTGCTACTGTCTTGAAAAACTTTTAACCAAACGTGTTCTAAGAAAAGAAAAGGTATATTCCTAAGAAATTTTTAATAAAAAAAAGTGTAAACATTAGCTATTGGATTAAGAGAGCCTCTTGATATTGGAGGGGGACCCCTCCATCCAATGGCCGGTGTCCCAACTCATTTCTAATTAGGTAGAGGTAGGAAGGATTTGTTGTTGTCCAAGTGAAATGGGTCTTGGTGGATGGGGAAACGAGGCAGTCAAAGGATTATCTTTAATTTGCTCTTTAGGCAGAGTATCTTCTGAATGATAGGATTTGAATTTCTTTCTGTTTCTTTTGCTTTTCAGCTTTAGAACTCCCCCTCCAATCTTAACCCACTTTTTGATATGTTATTTTCATAAGCAGCCGTTCATTGATTTCCAATAAATCTTCTCATATCATTTCCGAAGCACGCACCATTTTTTCTCGTGCAGGTTTTAGGCTACGTGAGGTCGCAAGAAAATAATTTCTCGAGAGTTTCTTAGGTGACGTTGCTCTTTAAGACTAAACTAAAAGTTAAGACTTAATTTGATATGGATGAACGAGATTGAAATACTATATTATTGGAATTCTTGTTTTGTAATCTAATTTTTTATTTTATAATTCGAATTATACTATATTGCAAAATATAAATGATTGGATGAAAAGACAACTCTCAATATCAAGAAATTTTCCTCCCATCCAATAGTCTTTATTACGTAATTCAGACTACACAATAACTTTTTGATATTATCATTAGAGATAAGAAAACCATTCTTATGCATAACAAAACCATCCACATGACATGATCAAATTCAAAGAAGAAAAACAAACTACATGATCACAAGGGATAATCACATTTACTACCCACAACACTATGCAATCCTTGGAAGGTTCAACAAAGTGTACTGTCTGACCTGGAAATAACTTTAAACGTATATCTATAATGGTGCCATCTTCAATTATTCATATGGGATTTTTCTTGCACTCAAAATAGCTAGCAAAGGACGAGCTTGGGAAACATTTCCTATTGAATCAACAAGAATTGGGCAAGGTTTTTTGTACATCTATACCCTCTTTCGGAGAAAAGGAAAGGAAATTGATTTGGTCCAAAATGATGTGAAGCATTTTACCATTAAGATAGAAAATGAGAGTTTGATTTCACCCAATTCTTTTGAGACAGACATTGTCACTGTCTTTCATTTTCCTAGCCTTCTTCACCCCTTATTTTGTCCATCAAATCAAATCATGAGGTCAACCTTCTTGGCTCCATCTCATATTCTGGGAAGTCCTCCTTCCGTCCGGCTTGATCAATGTTATTGTAAAACATGTCTTTTTCCTACGCATAATGTAAAATTTGTGAACGAGGGGGTCATGTGGGTGAGCTCTTGAAAGGGTTCCTTACACTATACATAATCTTGAACAAGTCGTGGTCCCATTGAAGTGGTTTCATCTGCCATGCCACATTTAATGCCGGTAAATGATGCAACTTATCAACTTTCTCTTTCTTAGATATGAAATACATAGGCATGATTCATCTATGAACACAGCTTCATCTTTGATCTTTTCACCAAGGGATGAAGAGATCAAATTAACATTGCATTACCTGCGAATAAAACCAGGAGTCTACTAGATGATTGCAGTTTCTACCACCTCCACTGCACAAAACAAATGCCTTGCACTATTTTTTAAAAACAGCAAGTGCAGATAAACTATTTCTTAAAAGCAGCAAGTACAGATAAACCCAGAGCTTCACAAGATGAAATAAATTTCAGGATGTATCAAGTGGATCTTATCACACTGTTGAAGGTGTGCAATAACTTTAAAGGTTAGTAATTCAAAATATCTACCCCTAGAAGTCCATAAATCAAGCGAGGCAAAATATGACTCTATAATGATTAACTAAGAAAGATATGGCAAGAAAAAAAACAAAAAAGGCAGGGTTATTCACATGTTCAAGTCAACAATTGCATTTATTCCAAAAACTTACAGCCAAATTTGCCTGGTAACTCTACAATTAATGAGAACATCCAACATGGGCAACCTTCCACCCGCCGAAAACCATGGTGAAACTCACAACGTTGACATGCAGTCAACCAGAACAATTATTCAAGTACAACTAAATAATTGCATTATAAGTAATAATCTAGCAAAATAAAACAAGCACATGATTTGTTAGTTACAAATGCAAACAACTTTGGATCTTCATGGACTGTCCTGTGCCATTTTCTCAGCATCCCATTATAGCCTATTCTAATGCAATAGCATATTATAGCCTTTTTTGCTATCAAGACCGGAGACCCAATTAATATGCTATCCCTCATGAATAAACTCTATTTGGTTGCTATCAAGACCCATCACTGACAAACATGCAGTAGCATATTTTAGCCTTTTTGCTTCTTCAAAATTTAACTCTCAACTATTTAAGAAAAACAACCCATCTTTTGGGAGTCTTCAGTAGGTTTCATCCCTCCTCATCACTTAAGGCCATTACCATCAACAACAACAATTTTTTTTTAAAAAAAATATTAAGACGCAACAACAGTATGGATGTTAAACAGACGGTTTCTTTCAATTTCCGCAAAGAGGCCCTCCAACTTCTAATCACAATCATTTACATGCATCATGGCATCTTAACAAAAAGACATGTGATCCTAGACCAATAGACAATATGAAGATCTATCCTAATTGGAGCTGGAGCAACTAAAACCTGTATGAGGTGATATACTTAAGTTGGACCAAAACAATCTCAATCCATGATATGGAAAGGCATTGAAAGGTAAAGGCAACTAATCCTGCAAAAGCCTTCCAAAGGAGCAGAAACAAGCAATGCATATCAAAGAAATCCCAGCTTCTCCATCCCAAAAATTTTCAATTACTACTCAAACATGTTCTCAGCTTCAGCATAAATTCATCATGGCCAATTTATACATCTTTCCCATCTTGATACTCGAAGAAAAACTATCAAATGTGCTGAAAATTGAATCTCCATTCCCAGACATAGTGTTTTATGAGAGCTCCAAAAACTTTAAATTCAGGAAGTGAAAAATAAACAGCTAATTCTGCATTATATTAAACAAAAGCATCAATTTCTGTTTTATAAAAAATATCCCAATGAATTTCTAACAAATTTCACTTACCTAATTACTACTAGTACGCTTCATAACATCGTAACATTGTCGAGACAACCTCAGGCAGTCCAACCAATGCAACATTTCCGCATTTGGGTCTCTCTCTATCACAACATCGGACACTGTAATCTGCACCTCGCCTCTATAATTGCCAATCCTACCACGGACTCTTGCAACCTTCCCAATATGAACCTCCGCCGCAAAACGTCTGGCCACGTCGGCAAGCAACTGAATGTCACCAGGGTCGCGGCGCGAGAAATACAGGGAATTGAGGTGGTTGAGCCAGAGAATGCAGCATATGCAGCCGGTGCCGTCGTCGAGAGTGAACTTGAGAAATTTGCTGGGTTTGTAATCGCGGGATGTGATTACACCGACGGATTCAACCCGCGAGACGGGCATGCCTTTGCGTGAGAAAGTGGGCGGATCGGAGGAGGAGGGGGTGAGGGAAAGGAGTTCGAAAGCCAGGAGCTTTACATGTCTGTAGAAGAAGAAATCCTCCATGAGAGAGAGAAAAGAAATGGAAGATGAGTTTCGCGCCTTTTAGCGGAACGAATGGATCGTCTCCGCCGGAACTCCCGCCGTCTATCTGATAAGCTAGAATCAAGGGTGTCGCCGGGCTCAATTCTGTCTTGGTCCTCTTGGAAAATTTAATGGGCTTTAACCTTTCGGCCCGAAAAATCTAATAGTCTCTTTGTCCTTCCTTTTCTTAAAACTCTTTTTATTTATATCAAAATTTAAATTTAAAATTTCTAATATAAAAATTTTCACTCTTAATTTTATCTTATACTAATCTCTTAATATTCAAAAACTGCTTTGCACCTGATTTATGAGAGAAATTCGCCCAAAACTCTATTTATTTATTGATAAAACTCGATCTTGATATCTTATTTAAAAAAAATTAAATTTCTTTTATTTAGATCAACAAATAATTAATATTTTGACGGTTGATTACTAGAGTAAAAAACTTCATATAATATGATTGTGATTTTAAATTTTTTTAGTTTTTATAAAATTTACAACTTCAAATAAGAAACTCAATTTATTTCCAAATGTTTTTACAATATATGTTGTCATGATTATTTGAGAAAGAAAATTAAAAATAATTTTAACATTATTAAATAAGTTTATGATTTTAGCTGCTGAGTGTTGAAATTTGTTTTAAATAAATTTTTAAGTTTTGGTTTTTAGTTTTAGTTTTCAACAATTGCAAAATTTATAAAGACCAAAAAGAAAAAACTCAAAATCATAACTATACTAAAGGATTCATCAAAAAAATAAATAAATAACTATACTAAAGGAAGTCAAAATAAATGCATACGGTATTATTAAAAAACACCTGAACAAAAAAAAAAAACCAATTGCATAATCACACATAGTAATTGTAAATTTACAAGGTCACATTACAAGGTAATTATATTATTTTTTTAATGCTTTGTATTGATTTGTACATACTGATACAGATACAACCACAAGTATATTCCAAGTACCAGTCAAATACAAATACTCAATACAAATTAAAATATACTTTTTTTTCTTATAGAAAAACAAACTTAAATATATGAAGTTAGTGTGCTGCAGGTCATCTTCCCAAATTTTTTTTGAAAGACCCATCTAAAAATTCAGCTTTCAATTAATATTTTCAAAAAACAACAATTGAATTAAAAGTTTTATTCATATAAATAAAGCATGTTAACTGTTAGATTAAAAGTTCTATTCATATATATCTGGTAAGTGAACTTCATATTTGAATTTCATATGCTTAATCTGTATGAATAATTTCACATTCCTGATCTATACAAATACAACTTTAAATCTCACAATTAGTTTTTGAAAATATTAATTAGAATATGAGTTTTTAAATAAATCCTCCAAAAAATATTTAAAAGAACAACTCACAAAACACTTTCCTTAAATATAAGAGGTAGTACACACCAAGTTTACTATTGTAGAGTAGTTGCCAGTGAAATGCAGAGCAGCTTCAATCCTCACGTTATGTGTATGGCTGCAATGGCATCGTCAATAAACTTCCATTAGGCTCCAATTAAATACAATTTTGCTTTCAAATGCCAGAGAAGTGAAAGAAGGGTCCAACTTTATCTGATCCCAGGTGGAAAATAAATAAAGTATTTGCACAATAATCTTAGGTCAGAGTTGAAAGGTGTGCAGAGAAAAAAAAAGAAAAACATATTACAAGATTAAGTTTACCGTTGTAATAACCAGGCTAATTGATTTTCCATGCCATAAAAACTCCAGTACAAAACACAGTATTGAAGGAAATTCATCCAACCATGGTTCGCTTTCGACCCCTTTGTCTCACTAAATTGTGAAACAAAAAGAAAAGAAATAAGAAGAAAAATAGTTGGGGAAAAAGAATCCAAATGACATGGAGATAGGAAACAGGAGTTTGGGTAAAAGGACAGTAATTACTGCACCTTGAGCTAGCTTGTTAAATGTGGATGACCACTGCTTTGAGGACTTTTTGTATCCAGCAAGTATGTGATCCATCTACACAAGCATAAAAACCATAGAGTTAAAATCAATTTGAAATTTGAAAACCTTAAATGGCAAGTGTAACATGGTAAAAACCATACTCCTTTAATTTTAATCACATTTATTTCCAAATCCCAAATAACAGACACAGGAGACTTAAGCATTTGTTAGCTTTCTGTAGGAACCTAGGTTACAGTTTCTATTCTGAAATTCACCCATTTTTCTCATGCTGCTATCAAATAAAATAAAGCATATCAAAATTAAGAATGATGATGCTGAAACACGTCTCACCACATTCCCACAAGAAGAATGCATTGAAAGCAAGGCCCGTTCAAGAACATATAAGTCAACAGCCTTGTCCTCTGGAAGGGTTGAAGTAAAGCTTAGTCCAAAATCAATCAGGACCTAAAAGAAGATATTTCTGAATGTTAAGCAGATATAGAGCAACTAACTTTGAATATAAGGACCTAAAAGGATACGCCATCACCCAACCTCTTCAACTTCCTTATGTTCTTTGCAAAAATGCTAAAATAAAATAAACAACTTACCAGTTGATTGGTACCATTCCTCATTAACATGTTTGATGTGGTCAAATCACCGTGTACAAGACCACCATCATGTAGTTTGCCAATTGAGTCACCAATCTGCGTTGCTATATCATCTAACCGTTCTTGAACAACACCATTTATTCCAAATTCAAGGAAAACATCCTTAACAGAAGGGCCCTCCACATATTCAAATGTCAAAGTATGCAGCACAGGGTCCACAGCATACAGCACAGGAGTAGAAACTCCAAGCCGTCTTGCCTTTGTCATGCACCTAGCCTCCTGATGCAAATTCCAAACTTAAATCATAAGGAAAGAAACCATTCAAGTTTATCAAAAAAGAGAGAGATCATTTTGAAAAACCAACCGCATTCAAGCGCTTTAGAGTCAGCTTCGAATCAAGAGATGGGTGCCTGTATTTCTTCGAGAAACGTTCTTTGACAATAGACCTCCTTCCCACAAATGTCGACTCAAAGACCCTCTACACGAAATTATCAATTCATCATTACAGTTTTTAGTATTAGAAACTTAAAGCACCTGACATTAGCATGCAGAATCCTAATTTGTTTGACCAATAACACCAAGAACCCAGAAGTTCTCCTACCAGAAATAAACAACTAGCAAACATCCCAGATTGCAAACTTTCTAATAGACTAGTTAAAGTTACAATTTTGACGTACAGCTTCAGCTCCTTGTTTGAGCAAGATGAGGGAACCGTTTTCTCCATTACCCTCAATCTCCATAGCTGACAATTTATACTACCAAGTTGTGCCTGGAACAAATATTATCAAAATTAAATGAAAAAAAAAAAAAGGGGGCCAAAATTTTCAGCAAAGGTATTGTCATACTATGAACAAACAATACAGTGAGTGGATTATAAAAGAAAAATAGAATTTCACATGAATATAAATATTGAAACCATCATAAAGACCTCATCTTTGAGCAATTTAAAAGGAATAGAAGCAAATGGTATTAGAAATTCAAAACGAACCTACACGCTTTGGCAGCTCGCTGCCAGAAGAATGAAAAGAGGATGGAAGGAAGAAAAGAAGTTGGGGTTTTAGGGATCTAAGGATGAAGCGTCGACCGTAACTGAAACTGGTTAACGGAATGAATTTCCACCTGCGCTGTTGCGTAGGCATTAGGCTAGTTTGGGTTGGGATCTTTTAATTAGTTAAACTTCCAATTTGTTGCCCAACTATTGTATAAACTTTTGATTTAATCTTTAAATTAAAAAAATTTTTTATTTGAATGGTTCGTTCCGGCCCCAATGATGTTGGACTTTGGATTAGGATTGTTCCCTCCGTTGATTACATGTTCGAATCTTACGGAACCCTTTTTCTCCCTCCTCAATCAATCTTATAAATAATTACAAAATATTTATAAAAAAAATTTTTTTGATTTAATTTTGAATTATTTATCAATTTAGTCTTAAATTGATATTTATGTATAAACATAACTCACATATTTCATTATTAACATAACATATAACCATTAAGTAACGAATTTTTTGCAATTACATAATGGTCATATCAACTATTCTTTAACAAAGTACTAACTTGGGTTAAATTTATAAATAATTGAGACCAAATCAAATATTCTTTTAGTTTAAGGATCAAATTAAAGGCCTATATAATAGTTGAGGTACCAAATTAGGGATTTAATCTTTTAATTCGGGCAAAACCATTACATAAGCCTGTAAACTTATCTCATTTTAGCATATAGCCCCTAAACTAAAAATAAGCATGTAACCCCTTGAACCACACAAATCGCAACAAATTAGCACTTTGTTAAAGATCAACTAATATGACAATAAAAAGGAAAGGCTTGAGATTAATGCTTCAATGTGGTAATTAAATGAAATTAGCAATTAAATTGAAATTAGTCTCTTTTTTTTTTAATTCTCAAAGAAATGTACCTCAATGATAATCATTTTTTTATTACCTACGGACAACTAAAATCAGTAGAAGTTATTAAGGATTTTTCTAACCATTGCTCTTAGGCCACAAGTTAAGTGTGCGATTATTGCATCTTTTTATATTAATTAAAAATAACAAGATAAAAATTAACCTTTATTTAAACAACTGCTTAATTAAAATTATTTACATGACACTAGTGATAAAATTGATAACCATTTTTATGTTTTTCAATATTAATTAATGTTAAAAAGATGTAATAATTGCACTTTTAAAACACATATTAGAAAAATCCAACCATTAATAATCATTAATAGGCGGCAATTTGCTTTAATTGTATGGCTTAAGGGCTCATTTGCTTAATTTTTAATTTAAGGGCATATTTGCTAAAACGTGCTAAGTTTGACCGTTTGAGAGTTTAAGGAATGCCTTTAATTCGTGGCCAAGTCTTTTATTTATTTATTTATTTTTTTGCTTTTTACAAGTCTTAATTATTGTTTGATTTAACATTAACTTAATTTGAGAAAAAATTCTCTCTGTTTCTTTTATTTTCTTTAAATCGAACAAACTCCCAAGCTTGATTTTTAAGGTATGTTTTAATTCAAATAAAAAATTTTTGTATTAATAATATAAACGTCTATTTGGTTCAACTTTTACAAGAATCTTATTTATTACAAAAGTTGAATTTTTTCTGTCAATAATATTTGTTTGGCTTAATTTCTAATAGGATTTTTTTTATTATAAAAGTTGAAATAAGTCATAACCCAATCTTTTTGGGAAGGTATAATAGTTATACAAAAAATTAGAATATTTGACTAAAATTAAGCTTAAAAGTAAAATTTGAATCAAACTCGGCATCGAACTTAAGCTTAAGCTTGCCTAAAGTTTGACTCACCTTCACCATATACCCAACAAGTCTAAATGCCAGTTGTGAGTAGCAATATCAGGGTATAAGATGGTTATCATGTGATTTTTCTAGTAATAGTTTGTATTGTTTCATACAACAATGCCCTACAAATGCATACAAGAGAAAGAAAGAAAGAAAGAAAGAAAGAAAGAAAGAAAGAAAGAAAGAAAGAAAGAAAACGCAGATGGTTAATTGACCTTTGTTTTAAGGGAGGAGAGGAACCATTTTCAAAATATTGAACAAGACTAAAGGATAACATTGAAACAAAAAGAAAGTGTTGGACTAAAAATTAAATCTACCTATTTTGGCCCTGTTTGGTTTTGCTTGCTTCCCCCAAAAAATGAATCTCTGAAGCCATGTTTTTGCAGCTCAGCTAGATCATTTTTCTTCTGGGACCATTTAGCAGTGATACTGATCATGATTAATACTATATACATGAGCACTTACTACTAATGTTCATCGAAACTCCGGCCTCACAATCTCATTGAAAATAGGAGAACCCAGTTCTCTCAGATTTGAATCTACCCATTGAACTTCTGCTTCCTTGAAGCCAAGCAGCAAGGCAGGTGGCAAGCTCTCTATAAGGGATTTAATGAAACATGTCCTATCAATTACAAACAGCAACTCAACCTTCATGGCAGGCACATCTTTCAGCAGGAAGATCTCTTTGGATAAAAACTTGAAAACCCCTAATCCAAACCCACTCAGTATTTTGGTTCTATACATAGGAAATGTTGATCCATCCACTTCAAGTCAGTCTAATTATTGCATTGGTTAAGCATGAGATCTATTGGAGAGGGTCCTGTATATAGCTTGAATGGTGTTTGGAGTTGTTCTGCAACACCCTCCTACAAGGGAAGCTC